AAGTAGTTGAAAACCAAATTCAAGCCATGAATGGCAATACTTAAGGACATTGGGTAGAATGTTAAATGATCCAGGAAGTATCAAGAGAAGATGGAAGGAGTACACAGAGTCACTGTATCAGAAGGAATTGGCAGACACAGAGGAATTTCATGAAATAACATATGAGCAAGAGCCTATGGTGATGAAGGAGGAAGTTCAAATTGCTCTGAAGTAATTGGGAAAAACAAGGCTCCAGGAATTGACGGCATACCAATTGACATATTTCAACAAACAGACATTGCCCTGGATGTGCTCACTACTTTGTGCCAAGAAATCTGGAGGACAGCCAGCTTGCCGACTGACTGGAAAAGATCAATATTTGTTCCCATTCCAAAGAAAGGTGACACAACAGAGTGTGGAAATTATCGAACAATATCATTGATATCACATGCAAGCAAGATTCTGCTGAAAATTATACAAAAATGTTTGGAACCATAGGTCAACAGAGAACTGCCAGATCCAGATGTGCAGGCTGGATTTAGAAGAGGTTGTGACACTAGGGATAGTATAGCTAAGGTTAGATGGATCTTGGCAGAAAGCAGAGAATACCAGAAAAATGTCTATCTGTGCGTCATTGACTATGCAAAGGCTTTTGACTGTGTGGATCACAACAAGCTATGGCTGACTCTGAGAAGAAGGGGAATCCCAGAACATTTGATTGTGCTAATGTGAAACCTATACTTGGGCCAGGAGGCAGTCGTCAGAACAGAGCAAGGAAACACTGCATGGTTCAAAATCAAGAAGGGGGTCCATCAGGGATGTATTCTGTCTCCATACCTTTTCAATCTGTATTCAGAACAGATCATCTGAGATGCTGGGCTGTACAAGGAGGAATATGGCATCAGGATTGGTGGAAGAGTCATCAACAGCCTGCGTTATGCAGATGACACAACCCTGCTTGCTGAAACTGAGGAGGACCTGAAGCACTTGCTGCAGAAGATCAAGGACTGCAACCTCCTATATGGATTGAAGCTCAACATCAAGAAAACAAAGATTCTCACCATTGGGCCAATTGGCAGCATCAGTATGGATGATGAAGAGATTGAGATAGTTAACAGTTTTAGTTTACTTGGTATCACAATCAACACTCTTGGTAACAGCTGCCAGGAAATCAGGAGATGAATTGTATTGGGAAATTCAGCTGTGAGGGACCTCTCAAGAGTACTGAAGAGCAACAACATCAGACTAGTGACTAAGGTGCACCTGATCCAGACTATAGTCTTCGCAATTACATGCTGTGCACTGGAGAGTTGGACAGTGAATAGGGATGATAGGAAGAGAAGTAATGCCTTTGAGTCGTCGTTCTGGAAAGAGTGTTGAATATACTGTGGACTGCTAGGAGAACAAACAGGTTTGTCCTGGAGAGGGTGAAACCAGATTGTTCCCTGGAGTCCAGGATTCTGGAGCTTCATCTGACATACTTTGGCCATGTTGCAAGGAGGGACAGGTTCTTGGAGAGGGACATCATGTTTGGCAGAGTGGAGGGACAGCACAGGAGAGGAAGACCCTCGATGAGATGGATCGTTTCTATGAGTGGAGTGCTGGAATGAGTGTGTTTGAGATGGCTAGGTTGGCACAGGATAGAATAGCGTTTAGAGCTCTTGGACATAGGGTCGCTATGAGTCGCAAGTGACTCGATGGCACATAACCACAACAACAACATGACTAACCTTTAATAAAAACCTTGAGCACTGAGGAAAAAAAGTAATTAAGACCATGCATGTGATTCTTTTTTCTATGCTGCTCACAGGTTTGTTCATGAAGAAATGATGTGACAATTTACATAATATATTAAATCTACTGTATGACTGAGATGTGGTATTTGAGTGTCTGAAAGGATTATGGTGTCATTAGCTCCAATGGGTCATCAAGAAGAAAGCTGATTTTGAACAAGGCAGAGGTATCAGTATTAGAGTTTGTGGATGTTCAATGGTTTATTGAGACGAGTGCATTCAGTTCAGAATTTAACCATCAAGGTTCGAGTTCCAATTGGGCCACTGCTGAGTGATAAAAGTCACTGTTGTATATCTCTGACCAATAGGCAAGGGTCAAAGAGGTAAAGGAAGAGGAACTTGGGGTTCAGTTCAGTGTCCTTTTGACCTGGACATCCCCACAGATTTTTTTTTAGAAACTTTTTCATTATATAAGCAGAAAAACATGTTGACTAAAGCCATAAAATATTTTTACTGTTTCTTATCTGATTTGCTGACCCTTTCTGTTTGCAAGACCACATCCATATCAGAAGGCAACTTCAGTGGGAGATTCAAGGTTTTGCAAGTACA